ACAGATGAAGTTGATTTAAATTTTGAGCACCATAGCCAGCTGTAATAATTCAGTCAAGATGAGAATGTTTAAGTAGTGGTTGGTTCATTTCATGGCCTAGCTTATTAAATTATAAAATGCTGATTGAAAACAAATTTCCTTGACAGCTAGTGCAGAGGCTAATGCTCCTCTCTCTCACTTGGTTACCATGCTGCAAGCTACTCCAAACCGTTCACTAATTTTCTTGTTACAGCAGTGTATCCAAATACCTTAACGTTTTTTGTTTTCTATCACGCTGCTGGGTTTTTAGCTCCAATACATTTGGTGTCACTGTTAAATGGAGTATAGATTATTGAGCCAATAATTCATTTTATTGCTTGTGTAAAATGTTTACTATTCCTGTTCGATCACCTAAGTGAACTGCAGATTTTTGTCTTGCCAGAAGTTTAACTGACGCTTGAGGTCTGGGGAGAGGGTGCTGCCATGCTAACGTTAAAACTAAGTCCGAAAATGGGTGAAGGATTTGGAGTAGCTTGCCGCATGGGTTATCAACGAAGAGGGACCAACACTAGCTTCCTCACCAGCTGTCAAGGGAATTTGTTTTCAATCAGCATTTTATATTTATTAAGACCCAGGCCATGAAATTCATCACCAACCGTTTTTTTAAACATTTCATCTTGACTAAATTATTACAGCTGCCTATTGTGTTCAAAATTTAACTCGACTTCATCTGTTGTACTTTTTAAAATCAAAAAGACAGTAGTAATTCTGCTGAAGTCCACGCCAATCAATGGAACTCAACTAGTATCTTTTGTCTTGTTATTAATGTATTTGTACATTTTTCGGCTTTTTTGTGCAACTTGCTGAATTTGAAAGCAAATGGCATCAGGATATATGTCTTGCAATTTGTGGTGTAATTATACTATATCTTGGCAGCTGCCAACAAAACAGTAAATGCTGTTTTTGTTTTAAAAAGGCTCCAACGCCAGTGCTGTTTAACCCCCAGTTGAATTCCTCTGCACCATTTAGTTGTCAATGGACATGCTGGCTGGCTGCTTCTTGATGATCTTGTCTAAACAAAGCTCTAGTGTTACAAGTGCTTTGGAATTGCATGTCCCTTTTTTTTTTCTGAGCATCCATTTCAAACCTATTGGTTTTACTATTTTGTTCCCTTTGTGCTTGCTTTTGTTTCTAACCATATTTCACTCTGCAGCATTTGCTACCTGATAATGCACATCGAACTTGTCGGTGGCTTTAAGATCAAAAGTCATGCATGATATTATAACAGTTGCACACTGCAATGCACAAGCCAGTGGAAGCAATCGCCACAATGTGCTGCCTTTCCCATTACAGGATCTACCAACTGTACATAGAATTATGGAAGTGTGTAGGGTGGGAAGGGGATACAAGGAGGCAAAAAACTGGAAAGCAAAGACTGTCCTGAGAACTTAACACTGGCAGAACGATGGAGGTTTTGGTCTATATATTTTCAAAAGCATACTTTTTTTAAAAAAAAAAAAAAAAAAAAAAAAATTCTCCAGTTTGCTATGCGATTTTATTGGATTTTGATATATGATCAAGATTTAACAACTGAGAATAGGACTTCTCCAAAGTGAATGGTGCTAATTCCTTAGGCTGTCCAAAAGTAGGCATTGGACAAATCCAAAGGATTTGACTTGTAACTAAAAGAAAAGTTCAGAGAGCTCCTAGCAATTGCTTACTGAAATGAGGATATAATAGAATGAGAATTTGAATGCCAAAATCAATATAATTGACAACATTATGCTAGCTTCTTGGAGGGAGGTGGGGAGGAGAGCAACTTAAAGGTCACTTTTTGAGATTTGTGCCATGGCTATAACTAATGGATACATTTTTATGCCCTTGATTTTTCCTTGTAATGACTAATAAATTGAAAGTATCAAGAGGTAGAAGTAAAATTTGAAAAAATATGTTAGTGTTCAACGTTGAACACTTTTTTAGATCTGTATATTAGAATTTTACTTGCATTCTGATTTTGAGCATGAGCTGTAGTGTTTTCCTGCATCAGAAAACACTAGCCCTTAGGGACCATTTCTCTGGAAGGTCGTGGCTCAGTGGTTAGCACTGCTGCCTCATAGCACCAGGGACCCAGGTTCGATTCCACCCTTGGGCGACTGTCTGTGCGGAGTTTGTGCATTCTCCCTGTGTCTGCGTGGGTTTCCTCCGGGTGCTCTGGTTTCCTCCCACAGTCCAAAGATGTGCAAGTTAGGTGGATTGGCCATGCTAAATTGCCCATAGTGTTCAGGGATCTGTAGATTAGATGTGTTAACCATGAGAAATGCAGGGTTACAAGGAAAGGGAAGGGGGATGGGTCTGGTTGGGATGCTTTTCAGAGGGTCGGTGTGGACTTGTTAGGGCCTATTTCCACACTGTTGAGATTCTGGGAATCTGAGTTGGGGGGAGAAAAAGCAGGAATGCAGTATTTGCTTGGTTGTTGGTTGACACTAGAATAGCCATGCAGTAGGCTGGGAGGAGGAGAAACTTAATGACAAATCTATGCCAGGGAACTAACAGTTCTATCTGCCCGATGCATCATCTTGCCAATGAACAAGTCATCATAAGAGATGCCATTTATAATTACTGGAGAAGGAATAGAGCCATTGAAGTTCACAATGCAGGCTCCAGAAGAAAGGTAATTCCCTACACAATGGGTTTTATTTTAAATTGGTGTTTCATGTCACGAATGAGGGGCATTTTGGTACATACTTTCTACCTAAACTTTCAGAAAGACTTTAAGGCAAAGAACTGTAACTGCAAAAGCTGTACTTTGGGACCTTTTGTACCTAAGATGGTGCTGTAAGCGGTGATCTCATGAGAGGTCGAACGACTGGTTAAGAGGAAGAAGAATGCTTCTGTAAGGTTTCGGAAACAAGGAACAGTAAAGGCTCTAGAGGGATACAAGTTATCCAGGAAGAAGCTGAAGAAAGGGCTTGGGAGAGCTATAAGGGGGCATGAGAGAACCTTGACAGATAGGATCAAGGAAATCTCCAAGGCTTTTTACCCGTACGTGAGGAATAAGAGAATGACCAGAAAAAGGGTAGGGCCGATCAAGGATTGTAAAGGGTATTTGTGCACGGAGCCTAAAGAGATTGGAGAGATCCTTAATGAATACTTTTCTTCGGTATTCACAACTAAGCGGGATCTAGTTGTAGAGGACGACAGTGTGAAACAGGCTGGTAGGCTAGACGAGGTCAATGTTAGGAAGGAAGATATGCTAGGAATTTTGAGGAAGTTGAAGATAGATCAGTACCCCGGGCCTGATGGGGTTTATCCAAGGATTCTGTGGGAAGTGAGGGAAGAGATCGCAGGGCCTTTGGCGATGATCTCCTCGTCCTCACTGTCAACTGGTATAGTGCTGGAAGATTGGAGAGAGGCAAACGTCATTCCCTTGTTCAAAAAAGGGAATCGGGATAACCCTGGAAATTACAGGCCAGTTAGTCTTACATCAGTGGTGGGCAAATTATTGGAAAGGGCTCTGAGAGATAGGATTTATGATCACTTGGAAAGGCACAGTTTGATTCGTGACAGTCAGCATGGATTTGTGAGGGGTAGAACATGCCTCACAAACCTTTATTGAATTCTTTGAAGAGGTCACCAAACACGTGGATGAAGGTAGAGCAGAGGATGTGGTATATATGGATTTAAGTAAGGCGTTTGATAAGTTTCCCCATGGTAGGCTCGTGCAGAAGGTAAGGAGGCATGGGATAGAGGGAAATGTGGCAGATTGGATTCAGAATTGGCTGACCCTTAGAAGTCAAAGGGTGGTAGTGGACAGAAAATATTCAACATGGTGCTCGGTTACGAGTGGTGTACCACAAGGATCTGTTCTGGGTTCTCTTCTATTTGTGATTGTTGTAAATGATTTGGATGAAGGCGTGGAAGGGTGGATTAGCAAGTTCGCGGACGATACGAAGGTGGGTCGCGTTGTGGACAGTGCAGAGGGCTGTTCTGGGTTACAAAGGGACATTGATAGGATGCAGAGCTGGGCTGAGAAGTCGCAGATGGAGTTTAACCCTGAAAAGTGTGAGGTGATTCATTTTGGAAGGACAAACTTGAAAGCAGAATACAGGGTTAACGGAAAGATTCTTGGCAGTGTGGAGGAGCAGAGGGATCTTGGGGTTCATGTTCACAGTTCCCTGAAAGCTGCCACCCAGGTGGATAGAGTTGTTAAGAAGGCGTATGGTGTGTTAGCTTTCATTAATAGAGGGATGGAGTACAAGAGCCGTGAAGTTATGCTCCAGCTATACAAAAGCCTGGTTCAGCCACATCTGGAGTATTGTGTCCAGTTCTGGTCACCTCATTACAAGAAAGATGTGGAAGCGTTGGAAAAGGTGCAGAGGAGATTTACCAGGATGTTGCCTGGAATGGAGGGTAGGTCTTATGAGGAAAGGTTGAGAGAGCTAGGGCTTTTCTCTTCAGAACGACGAAGGATGAGAGGTGACTTGATAGAGGTGTACAAAATGATCAGAGGTATAGATAGAGTGGACAGCCAGAGACTCTTTCCTAGGGTGGAGGTAGCTATTATGAGGGGGCATAGTTTTAAAGTGAGTGATGGTAGATATAGGGGAGACATCAGAGGTAGGTTCTTTACTCCGAGTGGTCGGGGCGTGGAATGCATTGCTGGAGAGGGTAGTGGAGTTGGCCTCATCGGGCATTTAAGCGGCTACTAGATAGGCATATGAATGATAGTATAAGGTAGGGGTGGAGGTTAGAAAGAATTTAGGATTAGGGTAAAAGTTTGGCACAACATCGTAGGCCAAAGGGCCTGTACCATGCTATAATGTTCTATGTTCTAACACCAAGATAGTTCAAGAAAAATCTTGTTATAAGAGCAAATGTTACAAGTGCTGAAATAGGATTCAAACTTGCAGCCAAAATAATGTGATTCAGCTGGGAGGCACATGACTAATGGTACCTTACTATTGCTAGCTGTATTAAGGGGTGATGTGGCACATGATATCTTTGGGGGAGGGTGATATGCATTACTTATCTGGTGTAACAGTCTTGTGGAAATCTGAATTTTTAGGCCAATTGCAGCACAAGCAGTTTTTATCAAAGACCAATCCATCAGCACAGCGCTCATGAGTGGTTAGTTGATCACAGCGGTAGAATCTGGTAGAATCTTTTGGGTCAACATAGATGCCAGTTGTTTTATTGAGGCACCATGGCCCATTAATACGTATTTCTGTGTTGTCATTATTTTTATTCTTGGTACTTTCACTGCTGGAAGGTGAATTTCCTATTTTACAGCCTGGAAGAGAAATACAATATTTGTATTTACTGAGATTCACTCTGTTAAGTAATTATTTTTCTATGACAATTGCAATCATGTGACTACAGTGCATTAAAGATGCAGTAATGGTCATGAATCCTCAACTGACCAGAGTAGTGTCTCACTTTCCTTAAGTGTTAGCATTTACTTTTACAATACTTCACTGACCTACAACTAATCGGAAGTCTTCCTTGAATACAAAGGCTGTGCTAGGATTTCTGAAATTCAGCCCAATTTTTACAACTATAAGTACTATTACAATTGTTCTGTTTTCAAGTACAGTGAGGAATTTCTTGCAGATTAGAGATAGGAATTTGCCCTTCATTTTGTTTTTTCAAGTTTGGAATTGGGGGGAAAAAAGGACAGAAATACGGCAAAATAAATGTTCTACATGAGCTGAATGTTTTCCTTGGTGGACATCTTGAATGTAGCCCAGAGCGCGCACAGATGGTAGATACTTTCTAAGTTAACTATCTAAATCCTATTTTGTTAACTGAGCCGTTATAGTTTCAGTCATCAGTAATTTAGTTCGCAATAAGTAGAATTGAATTTTGAAATATCAATAGAATGACTGCGTGCAATAACATTATACTTGTGAAATGCTATTCTTTATCAATGATAATGGTAAATATTTCACCTGGATTTATTTTCAGTAATTTGTTCAATTTGGTTGTTAGAGGAAGTACTCCCTGTTGGCAATGATCATGAAAATCATCGAGATCTATTGTCCACACAAAGGCACCTCCATATTTATTCCTCTTCAGCCACTGAGCCTATAATAATGAAATAGCAGTAAACAGGTGGTTTCAATTCCTGTTTGTAGAGGAATTGTATATTCTTTTGCATTCACAAACTTAACTTTTAGTTTTTTGTTGAGGCAATACAGGTAAATAGTAACCCAACCAATTTGCATTACCCTTAATTAGGATGCAAGTTCTTGAGGACTCAAAGCCATCATGGTGAAGTTCCATGATGTTGAAGTTTCAAGCATCTGGGACATATCAATTATCATTATGATGAATATTGTTCCAGCCAGATTTCAGCATTCATAATTTCTACAAATGGGTAATAAAGTCAGTTGAGAGATTAAGTGTAATGAGCCCACTATGTAGCTTTTGCCTTGCACAGATCTCCAAACATCATGAATGACTTGGGTGTTTTCTGTAGATAATTAATAACCTTGGAAAGAATGATGTTGCTGTATTTTCATTGCATTGTAAAATATAATTAAACACATTCTGTGTATATGTTTATTCTTCATTTAAGCTCTCTATCTAATCTAGATTGCAATCTTGCTGTTGTATCTCATTAATTTCCTTCAACCACCTATCTAATTCCTAAATTTTGGTTATGTGATCTCTGTTTTAGTGGATGTGAAATTCCTTTGAGATGACCCGTGGTTCAGAAGAATGCAAATTGTTATTTTAAAACTGCAGCTTGTGGGCTACATGGCACTGACAATCTTTGGTTTGAAATGAAATGTTTTTGCCTAAATAGTGGATACATCGATAATTATAAATGTATTAGTCAGCAATTGTTTGGCATCTAAGACTCCACTATGTTTATCTGTCTGACCCATATCAACAAGAAGTTTGAATATCCTGAACGTGTAGATTAGTGTACAAATATTGCAGAATATTTCCTCAAAATTATCTTAGCTAGAACAATATAGTTGATAATACACAAGCCATACTTTAGTCTGAAAGCTATCCAGATTATCGTATCCAAGCCATACGTTTTTCTTAACCGCATATGAAACCATCTGGTCCTTAATCAGTTTGGATGTGGCATTTTTCAAAAAGTCGCAAACCTGTCAATGAGAATGATTGATTGGATATTTTTAATACAATTTCCGTAAGAAGAAAAAATACTTTTTTTCTCTGTCTATCTACCTATAAGTATCTACAGCTATATCTCTAGATAACACTTTCTTGTATGTCATGTAGGCTGCCACCTCAGTGCTACAGAGAGAGACTTTTGCATTGTCATTTCCCATTGCATTCAGTTACCGTTTTTATTTGTTTTAAGTGGGCATTAAGCTAATCATTCTTTACCTTCTTGGGGTGTGTGTAGTGGTCAAATAAAACTTTTAGGAAGCAGAGAATTTTCCTCTTCCTCTTCCTCTTCTTTCCCTCCTTTATTTAATTATTTTGGGCTGTGATATGTATAAATTAGCTGGATGATTGCATTGTTAAAATCTAGTTGCTGATATTTGTGCAACACCTTTGAAAATATGATGGATACTATATAAAAGCTTATTCTGACCTTTTGAATACAGTGGAATATTTAACAAAAATATTGCTATAATGGTAATTATAATGGGGTGGAATTTGCAAAATAACGGCTAATTTTGGTGTGAAACATTATTAAACGGATTAATTACAGCAATTTAGGAGGAGCGAGACTGACTATTCTAAATTTCCAAAATTTGCTGGATGGTTTGTATCAATTTACCATTGTCTTGTTGCAAGACCTCCCATTCAATATCAGTGATTTTCAAAAAAAAACTTGCAGTACTGTAAATATTAACTAAACTCATCACAGGAAATAAGGGTTGGTATTTCATAACATAAGGACCCTATTAATTATAAGATTTGTGCTCTTGCCACTTGGAAAAGCTCCAATTGAAACTGGAACCAAAGTCCTGCATAAAGTCTTTGATATTTAGAACCTATTTTCCCTTCTGCCCCTTCTCTCAATTCATTCTTTCCCTCTTAATCTTTCTCTGTATCTAATTTATATTCACTTAACTGTGTGACTGACTATGTTTCTTGAACCTTGAATTTCATTGTCTAAGGTAATAGTCTGCATAGCCCTGTCACACCAAAGAGACACTTGTTTGTGTCTCTGCACCTTCACCAGCATTTACTTTCAGCAATTTGTGATGCAGTGGTTAATTGCAGCTGAAAGTTCCCATTGGGTGTCTTCTTCCAGCAGAGACTGGTCATGTGGTGGGAGCAAAATAATACTGGGAAGTATCCTGTTTGCATTTATTCCAAAAATATCACATGGACATTTGTGCAAATGATTAGTGGATTAGAAATAAACATTCATCACCTCATAATAAGCTAGGAAACCAGCCTCTCTTGTGTAGCTGCCAGGGGGTCCTGGACCAGTTGCTGCAGCACCAACACTTTTGTTGGAAGTCTTGAGTGTGAACGTACGCCCAAAAGTTGGAAATCCAATTATCATTTTTTTCGCTGGTAAACCATTTTGAATCCAATACTTGGCAGCATAATTCTGCAGCAGAAGTAAAGAGCTGATTTATATTTTCGAATATCAAGTTTTTTGTGTATACTTGAGTTCAATGCAGATCACTCCCATAATGCAACTTTATATCCCTTTTACAAGCAAGTTTTTTTTTCTAATTACCAAATAACCGTGTAAATATGGCCAGACCACCAATAATAATATTTACTTCATCAAAATGCTGCAATGGAGATGAATGGTTATCTACTATTCAGACTGAAACCACAAACTACCAGACAAACTTTACGCTTTTCCAAATTCTGATGCAAAATTCTTGACCTGAAATGTTAACTTGGCTTTACTCTCCATCAATGTTAGCTGATTGGGTTTTTTTTTTATTTTTCAGTTTTTTTTGTTTTTATTTCAGATTTCCAGCAGCCACGGTATTTTGCTTTTTGATCAAAGCCAATAAAATATTGAATTAAGTAGACATGAAATTAAGTTAAATGGTGATCAAAGTGTACAATAATCGGGAGAGACCACACCTTGAATTCTACATACAGTTCTAATTCTGAAGTATGAGAAAGATATTAAAGGCTAAAGTTGTTGTTGCACAGAACTACAAGTCTAACCTTCAATATTAGGAGTTTTGGCTGAAGCAAACTGGTTAATGGTTAGGAGCAAGTTTAACCCAGAATACTGTTTGAACACTGAGTAAACCAAGAGTGCATTGTAATCAAACTAGCAAATTGTATTGTGGAGCTGAAAAATTTCTAAGAATCCATTCTATACTGCAATGTGGGAGCGGAGTGTGTAGGGCTGTTCTGAACACCTATTCAAATGAGTGAAATGGCCTAATCATCCATAAATAATTGGTGAATATTTGGTGGTTGTATACATACCACATTAGAATTTGCATGAGCACCCTTATCAGTAGTGCCACGATATAAAGGACTGATGTGTCCTGTAAACCTGTCCCAAGCTCCATGGAAGCCATATGAAACCAAATTGATAAAGTCAACATTTCTGTAGAAGCAAAAGTACTAATTTGTAACTTCAAGAATAATTAGAATGTCAGCACATCCTAGATTAAACTCTAATCATGACTTGCCCGTTACTGAAACCTCCCCATCTGGTTATACTTTTCAATACCTACCCTGTTCGAGTTGCATTTGTGGTGGCCTGACCTATGTCACTAAATGAAACTTAGATATATCTCTCTCTTGTGACACTGTCTATAGTGCCAATAAGTCCATATTTTCCCACATCCTGTAAATCCTCTCCCAAAGAATCTTCTCCAGTAATTTCCCCACTACTGATGTAAGGCTCGCTGACCTGTAATTTTCCAGATTATCCCTGTTGCCCTTCTTAAACAAAAGAAAAACATTGACTATTCTCCAGTGCTCTGGGACCCTTCCTTTGCCAAAAGTAAATGAAGAGCTTTGTTTAACCTGGATTCAAGGAAAATATTCCGGGGCTAATTACATTTGTCCTGTCGCGTTGGCTTCAATCAAAACATTACTATTCAGCAACTATTATGAGAATTGCAGAAGAAAGAACAATGTTATTGAAGGAATGTTTTACTTACTTAGCAACTTTTGAAATCTCAAAGCCAGCATCAATTTTTTTTTTGCTGGCTGCTACAGCTGCTGAAATGAGTAGCTGGACATTGTTAGTTCTTTTTGCTTCTCGCTGAAAAGACTTTTTCATTTCCTAGGGTGGGGATGGATAAAATATGGATTTTGAATAAAGCGCAGCATGTTTCTTTCTTTTTTACATAGTGGTTACAGACTGAATTGGAATAAAGGAGCTTATGATTGCAAGGGCTTTTCTGGATTTGTTTTTTGTTAACCACTGAATGTAAATGTGCATGTGACGTGTGTGTGCATTTCAGCACCAACACTTCGGGATGTTTTCCTTTCTATTGTTTTTCAGTCAGCTCTGCAATTCCATCGCTCCGAACACGATCAAATGGAAATCTTTTTTTTCCCGTCGCATATCTAACAGCAAAGTGAGTGGTCAAACATATGTTCAGAAGCAAATCTATTTTTGCTGCTGATGTTATACTCCGTTCATAGTGAAGTGGACCTTTAACAACACAGCAAGTTAGTAACACATTATTGCAATCAATTTTGACCAGTCTCAAAACAACTGTCAGTGTGACATGAGGTGTAATGCCTGTACCATTCAGTAGTGAGCACTGCATGAGAAATAACACACTGCTACTTGAGGAACAATTTTATAATCTTTCTGATGCTGAGTTAAATTCTTGCCTTGGAAGGTCAGTGGAATAGTTATAGAATAAGAATCATCCATGATGCTTTTGGACAGCTGGATGTTTAAGTTTTAAAAAAATTGGAAATTTACATATGACCAAGGAATAAGAGTAGGTAGCTTGGCCCTTTGAACCTGCTGCACCATTCAATACAATCATGACTGATCTGATCTGATCTGATCTGATTTGAACTCACATCTACATTTCTGCATATTCCTGATTAATCTTTCATCCCCTCGGTACTCAAAGAATCTATCTTCATCTGTCAGAAAATATTTAAAGATTCTGCATCCACTGTCTTTTTGAGGAAGGGAATTTCAAAGACATCCAACCCTCAGGGAAAAAAAAACCTCATTCCTGTCTCAAATGGGCTCCCGCTTATTTTAAACTATGAACCCTAATTCTAGATTCTCCCACAAGTGGAAACATCTTTCAATGTCGACCTGGTCAAGTCACCTCTACCTCTTCTAAATTCCAGGGACAGCAGACCTGATGTGTCCAGTGTTTTTTATAAGGTAATCCACTCATTCCAGTTATGAGCTTAGTAAACCTTCTATAAACTTCCAAACTATTAACCTCCTTCTGTAAGTACAGTGACTAGGACTGTACACAGTACTCCAGAGGTGATCTCACCTGTGAATGAAATGTAATCTCCCCACGGCTGCATTCAGTTCCCTTCTCAATAAACCATACCATTCTATCAGCTTTCCTGACTGCTTGTTATACCTGCATATTAACCTCCTATGATTCACTCTCTAGTGCACCCAGATCTTCTTGCATCTTAGAGCTCTGCGCCTTCTTACCAGTTAGACAATATGCTTTTGTATTCTTTCTGCCAAAATGGACAGTTTTACACTTTCCCACATTGTATTCCCTTTGCCAGATATTTGCTCACTCGCTTAAACTATTTATATCCCCTTTTATAGGCTCCTTCTATCCTCTTTGGAACTTACTTTCCTACCTAAGTTTGTGTCATCAGCAAATATTGTTGCTATGCTTTGATCCCTTCATCCAAAGCATTTGTAAAAATTGCAAAGGGTTGAGGACCCAACACTGATTGCTGTGACACATCACTCATGATATCTTACCAGTCTGAAAAAGTCCCACTTATTCAGTTCTGAAGAAGGGTCACTAGACCTGAAACATTAACTCAGCTTTCTCTCTGTGGATACTGCCAGATCTGAATTTTCCCCAGCTATTTCTGTTTTTCATAGAATCCCTACAGTGTGGAAACAGGCCCTTCAGCCCAACAAGTCCACACCGACCCTCAGAGCATCCCACCCAGACCCATCCCCCTATAACCCACCTAATCTACACATCCCTGAACACTATAGACAATTTAGCATGGCCAATCCATCTAGCTGGCACATCTTTGGACTGTGGGAGGAAACCCGAGCACCCAGAGGAAATCCATGCAGACACGGAGAATGTGCAAACTCCACATAGACAGTCACCTGAGGCTGGAATCGAACCTGGGTCCCTAGCACTGTGCGGCTGCAGTGCTAACCACTGAGCCACCGTGCTGCCCTTTTGTTTCAGATTTCCAGCAACTACAGTTCATTCTTTTCCCCAATGTGTTACTCCCTATAACATAACCTTTTATCTTCTGTGACGGCCTTTGTGGCACCTTCACAAATGCCTTGTGAAACTTGAAATCAACTGTTTCCCCTTTATCCAAAGCATGTTACAACTTCAAAGAACTCCAATTTTTTGTTAAAGATGATTTCCCTTTGATAAATGTTGGCTCTACCTGATTACCCTTGAATTTATCTGTGCCCTGTTATAATGCCTTTCATAATAGCTTCTAGCATTTTCCCTGTGACAGATGTTACACTAACTAGCTTATGGTTTCCTGCTTTACTAGGCTGAGAGTATTTGTTGCCCACCTTCATTTGAATGGCTTACTAGGACATTTCAAAAAGCACTTAACAGTGGTCAGTCACGTTGCTGTGGGTCTGGAGTCACACGTAGGCCAGACCAGGTAAGGGTGGCAGATTAAAAATAGAAAATGTTGGATGAACTCGGTATAACTGGAAAGCTCTGTGGGGGGAGAAACCAAGTTAATGTTTCCTGTCTGAAATGGCTTCCAGTACAGGATTGATTTCCTTTACTGATTAATATTAATGAACCAGCTGGGTGTTGTTTTATGACAGCCAATGATGCTTTCATGGTCACAATTTCAGAATTTTCAATGCCAGAATTATTTATTAATTGAATTTAAATTCCACCAGCTGATGTGGTGGCACTTGAACCTATATCCTTGGAACATTAGCCTGTGTCTCTAAATTACTAGTCCGCTGCTATTAACAGTATCCCCGTTGTTTCCCCAGAGTTTTGCAAAAATACCGTGGTCATGACTGTAAGTACAAGTATGAAATATGAGAAGTAGTAGATTGGCCCCTTGAACTTAATCATCCATTCCCATCTCTCCCCGTAATTCATATTTGATTGTCTTTTCTAATGACGATCTATCCATGTCTGTGTTAAAAATATTTAAATAACCCACCTCCACTACTTTCTGAGGCAAATTATTTCTCCTCTTCTCTGTTCTAAATAGGCAATACTTGAAATCATGCCACTTAGCTCTAGATTCGGCCACAAGTGAAAATATCCTTTCACCTTGTCAAGACTGTTCAAGATCTTCTACACTTCACTCAAGTCACCCTTCACCCTTGGATAGGATAATTTTGTTAATGAAGGTCAAACACTTAAGAATGAAAATATGCTTTAATTTTTTTTTCCTTATTTTGGTAGTATCAGACATAGTTATTTCATTTTATAAAACTGAAAACCTGAATTATTGCTCTGAATGCACACTTTCAGATTTGTTTTGTGTAACATATCAGTTCATGTTTTTTTCCTACCTACATAGCTGTTCAAATTAACAAAAACAAATTGTTCGAGAAGCTCAGCAAGTCTGGCAGCATCTGTGCAGAGAAAACAGTTAAGTCTGGTGAACCTTCATCAGAACTGAGTCCTGTGTCCTTCAGTGACTTCCAGAATCAGAAGTGAAGTTGCCCCCAGAAGTGAAGTTGCCCCCAAAAGTGGCCAACATGTTCAGCAGAATTCCATCTTGAGGGTAGCCAACTGGGGAGAAGATTCTCTCTATACATTGGATACACAGAATCTTAAAGAAGCTACTCATCCAACCACAGCATGATTCCCTCCCATGCTTGCTACTGATAGCTCATAGAGATTCTAAGGAGGAGCAGCAGGAACCTGAGTAATGATGGTGTGCAGGTCTTTCAAAGTGGAGAAAGAAAGAGTGGGGGGAAGCAAGAGGAGCAGCAATGCTGGAGGAACTAGTGATGGGATGGGACCACCAGACTACAGAGAATGGGGCTTGGGGAAAAGTGACAGTGCCTGAGGGCAGGGAGGGAAATTTTAAATCTTCATTGGCATTGCAATTGTAATTGGGAAACCGAGTTATACTTCGTAAATGCAAATCTTTGTGTTATCACATCTGAGTCTAACGTACTATGACCTACTTTATATCCAATGACTCTATTAGAGATAAACATACAGCTGTTTAGCTGAGACTGCACCCATCTGTGGAAACCATGTTTACAGTAATGGCTTTTTGGTCTGTTATTTCTTTTAAAAAAAAAAAAAAATTGTTGCAAAATGTATGCCTGTTATCTCACGTCAGTTTAAATACTAGGAATCTAAGAAATTGATACTTTCCCTCTGAGTTGTGGTGATGATTGTTGAGAGTATTATTGAATTCTTCTGCTTCTGAGAATCTAAATATTCCAGATGTCAATGTTACCTAATGAGAATGAAAAAACGTTTCCAAAAACCAAAAGGTAATCCCTGAGAAAATCTTCAAAGGAGGTTTTAGAAGGGGAAGGGAAAAAATATTTCACCGACCCCCCCCCCACCCCCCAGATACTAAACAGATAAATATTGTGGCACTAAGGTCAGGCCGGAACCTGGGAATTGCATAGCGAGTGGCTCATTTCTTGACTTCCCCAAAGCCTGCCGGCAACCTACAAGACTCAAGTCAGGACTGCAGCTCCAACGCACTCCAGAAACTTGACAACACCTAGAGCAAAGCAGCTTGGTTGATATTGAACCTGCCCCACCACCTCATGCATTCACACCCTCTATCACTAGCACAGGCAAGATTCAAGATACACTGCCGCAAAATCTCCTTTTACAGCTCCTTCTGTGACCTGTGCCATTGAGAAGGATAAGTACTGCAGTGCTGTAGAAACTCCACCACCTGAAAGTTCATTTCCAAGCCCCGCCTTTTGATTTTCTAAGCATATTTAATGTTTTTTTCCTTCACTGTCACTGGATTAAAAACCTGGACCTCCCTCCCTATTAGCACTCAGTGGTTGGACTGCAGGAGGACAAGACTGTTCAACTTTGCCTCCTCTAAAGTGATTTGGGGAAAGGCAACAAATAGTCAACTAGCTTTGCCAATAAATTTCAAATTCCAGGAAATAATGAAAATGTCTTGTATGAGAAATGGATGCCTGGAGAGGTTTTACGGGCTGCACTCTTGCAACAATACTCCTATGAAATGTAAGTGCTCAAGAAGATAAAGGCAAAAAAAAATCAAATCTGTTTTACTCACCATAAGCAAAATAGAGTACCTTTTTTTGTCATCTGCTGGACTTCCTCTTGCTGCTGGATACTTCCAGTCTAAATTCAAACCATCAAAATTATGTTTCTTAAGAAATTCAATTGCTGAGTTTATGAATATTGTACGATTCTTCCTGGTGCCAACCATACTGGTGAATCTGAAAAGATAGGGAGAGTTAATGAAAAGTTTGCAGATTTTTTTTACCTGGTTGAAAACATTTTTAAAACTTAAATTTATCATCACTTTCTGAAATGAAAATTTTGTATCAATATGTGACCTTGGGTACCTTTTTAAATTTGCCTGGAGTTGTTTTTTAAAATTCCAAGTGTATGAAATCCACTCTGAATAAAAATGTGTTGTAAATTACTAGTGTTTCAATACAGTTCGTGCACATTTACTGGTAGAGCACTTAGAAAGAACTAAGTTCTAACTACTCATAAAATTCTACATTGATATTAATTTGCATAGAAAGCCTCCAGAATGTGACGCTTCAAATGTGTATCTGGTATCTGCCATTTTTAGATTTCCAACACACGTGAAAAGAGTGACCATATCAGTCTTGGCTGAAATAAAAACCACAAGCTGATGTTGCGTAAGGTCAGATCATACTGAAAAGGTAAACTGGCCTGCCGATCAGAAGCGAATGCTTGCTGGCACCAGTGCTAATGATTACCTTTGTGTACCAAAATTCCATCCTCCAATACCCAGGAGTGTCTTCAATTGTGGTCTCCTGTTAGGAAGAATAAATGATAAATTTCAAGTCTTTCCGTTAACAAATAATTTAAATAAAATTTCATAATCATGGAAGGTCAGTGAGCAAAGAAGGAATTGGTATCTGTGGAATATCAACCTCATGGTGGGAAGCATTCAGATTTTGTCCCTGCATAAATGTTTTATTAAAAACTGTTATCTTTGTTATGTGAGGGAGATGTTATCATTCTGAGACTCATTTCCTGGTAAGTTATTAGGTCTGGATTTGACATTGAGAGTAAGCCATAGTCCCATAAAGCTGCTCTCTCATTAGAGAGAGATGATTTATGGTGCATTTAACTTGAGGGTCACCACGGCTTTGGTGAAGGAAGGTACTGAGAAGAGAAGGAGAGTCCTTTTGTGGTAACTTCAGCCAGTGTAGGAATTGAATGCTGTTGGCATTAACCTACATCACAAACCAGCTGCCCAGCTAACTGACCCAATATAATGGGTAGGCTAATGGCATATACAGTCATTACAGAGTAAATTGTGCAGCAATTTCCAGAGTCTGCACGTGCTGAATTGAAAATGGAGATCCAGAGGTTTAGAGTCATCCTGTTTCTCCACAAGCTGCACAAATTTGGTTTGTTGTTAATCAACTTGGCATTAAAATCTAGGGAAAGGCATGGATTTTGCTGTGTTGGTGCACTACTTTCTCACAAAATATTGCATATGATGGAAAAAGTTAAAGTTAGTGTATGCAGGTCTGAGTGAATATCTGTATGATCTGTCAAATAGAGACATTGAGTTATACAGCTCGTAAACCGGCCCGTCAGTCCAACTCGTTCATGTCAACTAAATATCCTGATTGAATCTAGTCCCCTGTGCCAGCATTTGGCTCCTCTCCCTCTAAACCTTTTAATATTCCTGTACTCATCCAGATGCTTTTTAAATGTTGTAATTGTGCTCACTTCCACCACTTCCTCTGGCAGTTCATTCCATACTGGCACCACCTTCTGCATGAAAAAGTTGCCTCTTAGTTCCCTTTTACATCTTTCCCCTCTCACCTTCAATCTATACCCTCTAGTTTTGGACTGCCCCATCGTGAGGTAAAGACCACATGCCCCTCCTGATTCAATTAACCTCTATAAGGTCATCGTTCAGCCTCTGACACTCCAAGGAAAATAGCTCCAGCCTCTCCCTATGGCTCAAATCCTGCAATCCTGGCATCATACTTGTAAATCTTTTCTGAACCTGTCAAGTCTAGCAACATCTTTCCTATAGCAGGGAGACCAGAATTGAATGCAGTATTCCAAAAGTGGCCTCACCAATGTCCTGTGCATAATGTTTGAACTCCTATACTCAATGCACTGACAAATAAAGGCAAGTGTGCCAAACGCTGCCTTAAGTACCGTGTCTACCTGTGACTCCACTGTCAAGGAATGATGCACCTGAACCCCTGGGTCTCTTTGTTCAACAATGCTTCCCAGGCCCCTGCTTTAATTATATAAGCTCTGCCCTGGTTTGCCTTGTCAATGTGCAACACATCATGTTTATCTAAATTAAACCCCATCTGCCAATCCTCAATCCATTGTCCCATCTGATCAAGGTCCCATTGTACTATGAGGTAACCTTCTTGGCTGTCTGCTGTACCTCCAATTTTGGTGCAAACTTACCAACCATACCTCCTATATTCACATCCAAATCATTCATATAGATGCCAAAAAGCATTGGACCCAGAACTGATCCTTGGAGCACATTGATCACAGGCCTCCAGCCTAAAATAACAACCCTCTACCACCACCCTCTGTCTCCTACCTTCGAGCCAAATTTGTCTCCAATTGGCTAGTTCCTCTGGATTACGTTTAAATTAATCTTCATCAATCTTTGATACCTCTACAAAAAACTTAATCAAGTTAGTGAGACACAATTTCCCATGCACAAAGCCATGTTGACCATTCCTAATCAGTCCTTGCCTTTCCAAATACATGTAAATCTTGTTCCTCAAGATCCCCTCCAACAACTTGCCCACCATGATGTCAAGCTCATTGGCCTATAGTTCCCTGACTTTTCCTTACCATCTTTCTTAAATAATGGTACCACATTAGTCACCCTCCTGTCCTTGGCACCGGACTGTGGCTGTCGATGGTACAAAATAACCTCCAAATATTTAATTTTTACAAGGTCTGAGTCTCATTCCTTTAGGATTTAATTTATATTTGAGTTTTAAGACTACTTTTTCTTTTAGTATCCCAAAATGAAATGTACTATGAACCACAATGTCCAAATGATAGACACTAGATGAAAACATTTAGAGAAAAAGTCAGCAAAGTTTAAAAAAATAACAAAACAACACAATCTTTCATTTATGTTGTGCTTCTAAACAGAGAAAATATCGTAAGACAGTACATTGATGAAAATTAGATTCCTAGAGCTTGTGAAAAAGTTAGTGCAGGTAGCCTAAAGCTGATCAAATTTGACCTTGTATGAATGTTTGGAAAGGTTGAAAGGCCTAGGATAGATGTACAAGTGAAGGAACTGTCCAGAGTTAGTAAGAACTACCGCTGCTGGAGTCTGAGATAACACAGTGTGGAGCAGAAGTAGCACAGCAGGTCAGGTAGCATCAGAGGAGCAGGTAAGTTGACATTTCAGGGCAGGTCCCTTCTTCAGAAATGGGGGAGGGGTAAGGGAGCTCCAAAATAAATAGAGAGAGGAAGGGTGGGGCTGGGGAGGGTAGGTGGAATGGTGATAGGTGAGTGCAGGAAGGCAGTGGTGGGGATTGGTCAGTGAAGTAGGAGGAGCAGATAGGTGGGAGAGAAGATGGACAGGTTGTGTCAGGTCAGGGAGGCGGGGATGAGAGGAAAGGTTCGTCATGGGATGAGGCCGGGGGTGAGGAGATTTTGAAACTGGTAAAGTCCACAGTGACAAACGTCAACTTTCCTGCTCCTCTGATGCTGCCTGGTCTGCTGTGGTCCTCCAGCTCCACACTGTTATAAGGAACTGTCAAGATCTGTCATCAACATTTAAGGCAACATCAGTGAGGAATGCATAGAAGGAAAGAATCAAAGGACTAGATGGACATAAGGTTACAAGTGTTGGTGAATTTTTTTTTAATCCAGTTGGAAAGGTTAGATTTTATTTATTTAACATATTTTAAAAATTTGGATTTGCATAACAACATTCATAACCTCAAGATATTATAAAGGAACTTTCCAGTGAATGTTGTAATGAAGAGGAATATAGGAACCAATTGATACACAATAAATTGCCACAATTTGTACCAGGATTAATAACTGGGTAATCCGTTTTGTTAGCTGAGAGATGTCTGTGAGTGCACACAGCAGAATTTTGTAGCTCTTCGAAAAGTGCTATGAGACTTCAAGAGGACCTCGGAATTTGTATGCACCAGTTGCGTCCTATTAAAAGTCATAGGGATATACAGCATGGAAACAGACCCATCAGTCCAACAACCCCATGCAACCATGTACCCAAACGAAACTACTCCCACTTGTCTGCATTTGGTCCATATCCATCCAAATCTTTCCCACTCACACTTAACCAAATGTCTTTTAAGTGTTGTAACTGTTCCTACATCCATCACTTCCTCTGGCAGTTCATTCCACAGATGAACCACTCTCTGTGTAAAGAACAAAAGTTGCCCCACTGTAGGGAAAAGACCTTTGCTATTCGCCTCATCTTTCATTTTATAAACCTCATCAAGGTCACCCCTCAACCTCCTATGCTCCACCGAAAAATATCCTAACCTATCCAACCTATCTTTATAACTCAAACTCACCATTCCAGGCAACATCCTGGTAAATCTTTCCTGAACCCCCTCCAATTTAATAATGTCCTTCCGATAGCAGGATGACCAGAACTGTTCACGATACTCAGGGGCCTCACCATTGTCCTGTACAATCTCAATGTGACTTCCCAACTTTTATACTCCAAGGTCTGAGAAAGAAGGCAAGTGTACTAAATGCCTTCTTAACCACCCTGTCTACATGTGACTCAAATTTCAAAGAATTATGTACCTGAACCCCCTAGGTCTCTCTGTTTTACAACACTACCCAAGACCCTACCCTTAATTGTGTAAATCCTGCCCTTCTTTGTTTTATCAAAATGCAATACCTTACATTTATCCAAATTGAACTCCATCTGCCACTCCTCAGCTGACTGACCTAATTGATCATGATGAGACAACATTTTTCACTGGTCACTATATCACCAATTTTGATGTCTTGCACAAACTTACTAACCATGCCCCCTATATTCTCATCCAAATCATTTATATAAATGACAAACAAAAGCAGACCTGGTATCAATCCCCGTGGAACACCTGCTGGTTACAGGCTTCCAGTCCGAAAACAAGATTTTTCTTCCAAAATCTTGTTTAGTGCAACATCTAAACATAATGAAGTAGGTCTAAGCGTTGAGGATCTTGTGGCACAGTGGTAGTACCACACCTCTAAACCAGGGGGCCCGGGTTCAGTTCCACCTGCTTCAGTGGTGTGTAACTGCATTTTTGAACAGGTAGATTAGAAAATATCCAGAACATTTTGCATGGGCACTTTATCACCTTCAGTGCAAAAGTGCATCACTTAAATGGTCCCATAGGAATGAATTTTAATATTATGTTCTGCACTGAGTTGCTGACAATGGATGCTTTGGTTTTATTTTGCAGAATAATTGACCAAGTGAATACACAGCCTTACTTTGTGTTAAATTCCTATTGTCTTGGCATCAGACAAATCACACAATGTTTCTTTCCTTTGTAATGTCAATGTATTCTCTTTCATTTAGTCCATTGCATCATCCAGCAAGATCCTGGTCCTTGATGAATGTTTAAACATTTATTTTTAATGATTTACTGGACAAAGCTGTGATCCTGCTCTATGTGCCACTTGTATGATTTTGAAAAATTGGTGAGGCAGCCTTAGTTTCACTCATTACTTTTTCGAAAGATGTTCAAATGCATACTATCGAAAAAAGGTCACAGAGCTGAGACCAGAACAAAGAAGATATATTTCTAAGGAAGAG